TTTCGTTCCCCTCACGCATGCGCGTCGTCATTTCTCGTATGTCGTTCCAGAGTTTCCGTGTATGCCTTGGAGGGCCTCACCACCGTCATTTTCAAACATGGGCGCCCCCTTCTAATGCCACCCCTTTTGCTCCGCGTATGATGGCGGCTGTTGTCTCGACTGGCCCTCGCGCGACAAGCTGTTCCCCCTTGTCGGGTCGGAGCAGGGGGGGATAGGGAAAGGGGGAGGGTACGAAATCTGCTGCATGCAGTTGGTTTCGGCTCCGCTGCTGGAAAATCAGCCACGTGAGCTGATTCGCCAATCCACCTTTACTAATCCCACCTGTTGTCCGACCCGATGGGTGCTTTGGCTCTGGTTGTGCGCCCCGCGGAGGCCTGCGGCGGCTTTGGCCATTGTTGCCGATTTTACGGTGAAGTTATCCAGAAGACAGTGTGGTACTTCTGCCGGCTATCCGCCAGAGAGTCTCAGGTAGGGGGCAAGGGAAGGAGACGACGGGAGAGGAGGAGGAGTCAGAGGGGAAGGAGGGAGGAGGTGGAGGCGGAGGCGGAGGCGGAGGAGGAGAGGAGGGGAGAGGAGGAGGAGGAGACGGAGAGGAATGAGGGAGGAAGGAGGAGGCGGAGGCGGAGGAGGAGGCGGGGGAGGAGAAGGAGGAGGAGGGAGGAGGAGGAGGAGGAGGAGGCGGAGCAGACGACGGAGGAGGACAGGTGGAAAGAGGAGGAAAGAGAATGGAGGAGGAGGAGGAGGAGGAGGAGGAGGAGGAGGAGAAGGAGGAGGAGGGGGAAGTGGAGGAGGAAGTGGATGAGGAGGAGGAGGAGGAAGAGGGGGTGCTCTGGCCCTGGTTGGGCGCCCCCGCGCGCGCCCCGGCGCAGGCGGCGGCGCCAGCCCCGGGAATCCTCGCGGCTGGCTATGCCCTCGGGCGCCTGGCCGCCTGGGAACTGCCCTCAGGCCGGGGTCCTGCCGCCCCTTCGGTAGCAAATCATGAGAGCTCGGTATGCCCGCTTGTAATTCCGTCATTAGCGTCGACTAGCGTCGATTAGCGTCTGAGAGTCGACGAGATAGCGCCGATTTAGCGTCGATTTGCGTCGATGTAGCGTCGATTAGCGTCGATGTAGCGTGGACCAGCTTCGACTCGCAAGAGCCGACAAGATGGTAACCCACAAGGGTCTTTAGAACCCCCCTAAGAAGTGAAACTATTTGTTCGTCGGCCTTCTTGACGGACTGGTGTCCCACCGATAGAAGGAAAAAGTAAGTATGTGTTCCCTGCGGCGCCCGCCAGCACCGTTCTCATAGAAAATCTTGGTGCAGACATTTGGCTCTCAGAAGTTTCATCCCGAAGGCTTCATCCTGAGAAGGACTGCTGAAGTTCAGCCCCCGTGCGAACCCTCAGAAAATTGGTCCTGTGCCACGTGGACAATACAAATATATTGTTCCGAATTCTGTATTGTCCACACTGGATAATCGCCATGTTGGCCGCGCGCGCCAACCAGTCGCCAGCAGGAACTCTGCCCGCAGTGCTAGGCACATGACTATGAGCAAACTCGCGGGACAAAACGAAGCAATTCCCATTGCAATCCTCATGAGAAGATGCTTACACATCTCCCTGCGTACAGTGTACCCCGCAATTCTTTTTTCCGCTGGCAATTTATCCCTCAAACATTATCCAGCCCGCCCAACAACAGAGGGATTATATTCCAACGTCGCCGCGCGCGCCGACCGGGCGCCAGCAGGAGTTTTGCCAGCAGTGATAGGTAAGCTACTTTGATCAAATTCGCGAGTCAAAGCGAAGCAGTTCATTTTGCAGTCAGCATGAGAAGATGCTTACACATCCCCCACGTGAAGGTTAGGCCACAAAAGAATATTCCGCTGGAAAAGAATAAACCCCAAACATTGCCAACCTGCCCGATGGAGGGAAAATAGTCTCGCGTCGCCGCGCGCGCCGAAGAGGCGCCAGCAGGAGTTTTCTCAGAAATGCTAGGCAAACGACTTTGTGCAAACTCGCGAATCAAAACGAAGCAACTCCTATTGCAATCCTTCTGATAAGATGCTGACAAGTTCTCCCGCGCGCAGGGTACCCACCCGGTAACCCATAATGGATTATTCCGCTGGCGAGATATCCCCCAAACATTATCCAGCCCGCCCAACAATGGAGGGAATCTAATCCCACGTCGTCGCGCGCGCCAGCCAGGCGGCAGCGCGAGTTTTTTGTTGCCAGCAATGCTAGGCCACCGAGCTTGAGCGAATCCGCGCTTCAAAACGAAGCAATTCCTATTGCAATCCTCGTTGGACGGTGCCCAGAAATCCTGCCGCGTGCAGGGTCGCCCACAATGGATTTCGCTGGCGAACGAACCTCACCAGAGGGGACTCCCATATCCGCCGCGACGAGGAGGTTTGAGAACCAGTGCTATTCACCGCCAAGAGATCCAGGCGGGGGCGGGTTCATATTTAAATACCCTCCAGGTTACGGGAGGCTCTCATGAGTTGCCACCGAACTGTCCTTGATTTCTGGGTTTGTCAGGCAGCCAGATCCGTGCGAGTCGTGGAAACATTGCGACGGAGGGCGTTGGGCAATTTTCGGTTTCCCCTTGAGATCTTGGCGACTCCATGTTTTTACCGCTGGGCAATTTCGAACCATTTCGGGCCCCCGGACCCTCGCATATCGATCCGACATGAGAGATGACGCGGAAAGAAAAGTCCAGGGGTCCGGCCGTGAATTCTGTTTGCAATGTTGCATTTGTTTTTGCAAGTCGGATCTCAGGGTCTTATTTGGCGCTGGCCGAGACCGCCAAACGACTCGGTATGAAAAGTCTGCCCCGCGGAAAGGGTCGCGATATCCGGGCGGGTTCGCTTTGGGAAAGGAATCGCGACGTCCGGAGTTTGGGATCGACACACCACTTGCGTAATCTTCCGTGTGTTAACACGAATGTCGTTCTTCATTGCCCAACGTCTGTCGCCATTTGGGCTTAGGTGTTCGGCCCTTTCTGGATAACGGTCGGGCGATGCAGCTGGTCGCTGGGCCTGCGCCCTCGACGCTGCGCCGCGGCGGGGCGAGAAATTTATGTTTTTGGCGCCGCCCATGCCGTCGCGCAAGAAGGAAACGACGGGGCCGAGGCGGGCCCGGAGAGCACGCGGTAGCGTTCCGCGTGCCCCTACGGAACAGGAGCCTGGCCACCGGGCGGAGGACCACGGAGGGAGGTCGAGAGCGCGTGGCATCGTTCCGCCCGACCCTCCGGGACGGGGGCCAAGCCGCCCGGCCGGCAGAGTCTTCATCTCGCCGAGCTCGCAGTCGGGCGAGCAGAGGTCCAGGGGGGACGCGTTGCCATAAACATCGCCGCCAATGCAGGTTGACGCCTCGGGTTAAGGATGACCAGGCCGGACGCGACCCACGCCTGGACAAAAGCAAGGTTTCATATCGTTTTTCATCTCGGCCAACGAGAGCGGCGATGCCCCGCGGTTCCACGGCATCAGCCCGGCTGTCGCAAACGAGCACGTCGCCGGAACTGCGGGCCGCGAGTGCCCGTGGACGCTCATTAACAGGATCCCGGCCCCCTGGTGCCCGCGCGGTTAATGGCATTTGTTTCAGGCGCCGCAGAGACAAGCAACGCGACGGCGCAAGCTACTTGCTCAGGCCAGAGCCCAATTGCCTGAAGGCTGGACGGTTCAACCCGATGGACAAGAGGCCGACGGGGTCGCCGTCGCAGCAGGCCAAGTCCACGGGGCGCGCCATGGCGGCGAAGCTCGCGAGGCGCAAGGAAGGCCCAATGGCACCGAACGTCCAGTTGAAGGAAATCGACGAGGCGACCCGAGAGGCGCCGCAGCAGTCTTCGCGATCGCCCTCGGCGGAAGTTGCCGCATCATGCGCGCGTGCCCGCGCTGCAAGACGGTCCCCCTCAAGCCGACGGAGTGGGCGCGCTGCGCGGCGCCGGCGCACGCGGGCCCAGGGGGCGCCGCCGCCGGGGGCCACTGGGGGTCGCGAGTAAGATTTGCCAAATCTAATGGGATTTTTTTTTCTCTGGCCCACAGTGGCGAGCCCCTGCGTTGACTTTCGCGCCAAGGAAAACTAGTGGCACTGGCGCGAAAGTTAAGGCACAGCTGGCGCCTTTATTTTTTCCCCGTCGTAGGGCCTACTTCACATGACCATCGAATGCCTCCCTGGTCGGAACCATCAACATGTTTTCGTTCTGTCTCTCTTGCCCTGTCCAATCCATCCTCTTCTTCCATTGCTTCCTTATCATCCCTCCTCCACGTCCGCCTTCCTCCCTAAATCGCACAGAGAACGCCCGTATAGCATCGCGTTGCTCATTATTTCGCATTGATATCGACATCGCCAGTTGTCGTTGTCCCGTAGTCTCTCCAGGGTCAAAGGTCTGGCTGATTCGGCCACAGCACATAGGATCTTTGAGTCGGCTGCTTCGGCCGGGGTCCAAGGATCATTGGCCTAGACATCGGAGATTGCATTTAAGGTGCAGTCCCCCAGGCCAACAGAAACCCGAGTCGCCAGGCCATTGGAGCACATGAAAACACACGACTTTGATACAGGAGAGGGGGAGGAGGAGGACGAAACAAGGTGCTCCTGGTCCTCCTCACCTTTTTCCCCCATGCGCGTTCCCAGGCGAATCATACAGCGAGGCCGTGCTGGGCCATTCCCAATTCGTTGTGATGTTCTCCCTGAAGTACGGAGCTGGCGCAGTCCACCTCATCAGCAGGACAACCAAGGGAGAGCGGTTGGTCCCGAACAGCTAATTGAGTTCGGTGGCCAGGGCGCGGTGTTGGCAAGGGTGAGACGTTGGGGCCCAAACAACACTAGGCCTGGGCCCTTACGTCCCTTCGCGCCAGCATCGACATGTGGAGGTATGGGTCATTCGCTTCGCCCGCGAGTGCGGCCTGGCCGAGATGAACACCCCGAGCTCTCAATGTGATGTTTCCACCCGCGCGCACGCGTGCGCAGACACATGTGGCCCACAGGGAAAAGGGCCCCATTGCTGAAGATTTGGGTCTCGCGCACTTCGTAGACAACACGGCGGACTGCATTTGGAGCGTGCTCTACGATTCGGCTGGCAACGCACGCCGCACCTTGCAGGCGCACGGTGTTTGGAAACGCGCGTCTGTTACAACATACTAAACTTGTGAGTGGGGGGAGTTTTTCGATATGTGTTTTGGTCATCCGAGGCTGCTTTCCACTTCGCGGATCTCAGCCCCGTCGCGTCTTCCTCTGGCTTCCATCTGTGCAACCCCGTGCAGTCTTGGAAAGACATCGCCGTTGTGCTGTAGTTGCCTTATGTCGACGAGGCCTGGCGGGCTGACCTTCGCAACCCTAGTGGGCACAATTAAACCAGTGGCGCCACTTGGCGATTGTCGGTGCGAAGTCGGATAGGGTGCGTGGGCCAACTCCCCAGAGGCATGGCAGCTGCTGGAGTGCATGGGGCCGCCCGCGATGCCCAGCATCAGCGAGCTGCCTGATCCACTGGCTCAGCTGAAGCACCAGATTGTTCAGGAGTTCGGCTACATTAGGTACCACGCGAACCTCTTGCACAATGCAATGTTGTGGCCCTTCGCTCCCGGGGAGCGCGATCGCCCCAATGCGCGGGCGGTGAAGGCATCGAGCGGGTCATCGGGGGGATCTCCAACATCGGCGCCCATTGAGCCGACGGCGCCTGCTGTTCAGCCGTCAGAGCCTATTGAGCAGGCAACCCAACCGGCTGCTTCGGCCAAGGACGACAACGACGACAAGTGGTGCCACTGGCGCACGGCTGGCATGTGCAGCGCTAGCTGGCACGACACGGAGATGCGGCGAGCCATTGAGCACCAGGCCCGAATTGAGTCTGGCGCTCCCGCGGCGCATAGGTACATCCAGCTACCCATGTGCAGTGGCTGCGGGCCCAACACCAGTAGCAACTAGCACAGAAGCGACAAGCCTGGCGGGTAAGTTGTGAAGAAGTCTCATGCGGAGGAGCACAGGTACAATCGCCGTATGAACGTTCGTCTTGGAATCAATTAGAAAAGAGGGAAATCTCGGAGGTTCCCCCGATTAGCTCCCCCCGATTAGGCCCCCCGCGAATAGGCCCCCCCGATAAGGCCCCCACGATTGGGTTCCCGTGGGTGCTCTCTTGCACATACCTCCGCTACGCCCCTCCCCACTTCACTTTTCCAAACCATCTCGTGGTGTTGGGTCTTCCTTTTGAAGCGACAGCGCCCCGCGTCCCACCCGTTCACTCACCCCTTCTCCTCCTCTTCCTCCTCCTTCCCCTCCTCCCCTTTCCTCCCCCTCCCAGTATCATCATCACCAGCATCATCATCATCAACAACATCATGGTGACCATCTTCATCATCAGCATCACCAACCTCTGCTTCATAGTCATCCTGAGCATCCGCGTTGCCAGCCCCGCCCCATTTCGGCACACCCGTCACGCGTTTCGTGGCCACATAGGGAGCTCCACCTAAGGCCCCAGAGGAAAAGTTCGCATGACGGCGTCGCCCAATTTCGGCTCACCCCTCACACGGTTCGTGGCCCAATAGGGAGCTCCACGTAAGGCCCCAGGGGGGGGGCCACATCTCCTCCAGCCCCGCACACTGCAGCCGGCACTCGCACCTCCGCAGGCGTTGCTGCTTCCTTGCCGTTGCCGGCACCACTGCCGCGGGTTGTTGTTGCCACTGTGCCCTGCCATCGCTTCTTCCATATACCGAGCGCGTTCCACGACCCTCAATGTGCCTAGTCGCACACATCTGTGCAAGATAAGCATGTCCGCCTCGACATAAAAAAAAGGTTTGTACAAATCACCGCGGCAGCAGGCCATTTGCGATGCGTTACTTTGCGAGTCGTGGGGCGCGATTGTTTAGCCATGCCAGGGCTTGCGTGAATGTGGGCATCCGAAGTGGGGTCCGAGCAGATGGGATCAAAGGATCGCTTTTCATCGCCGATGCATAGGCGACGCGATTCGGTGCGGAGCCCCAGGTTATATACGTCCACGTGGCCGAAGCATTGCTGACGGCGCCGAGGCGGTGTCGATGCGGCGCGATCCGTTGACCCCATTTAGCCGGAGTGTATTTTGGAGGCGTCGCCTGACAGTCACGCAGCATACGTGCAGCATCGTCGAACCGATTCCCATCCCCGCTGGGCCACGGCAGCCAGTCCCCACCAGCCCCTTCCACCAGTGGGTGGCATGCCCCGCGAAGCCGACGGGAACGACGTATCGTCCTCAGCCAGGTGCGGGGGAGCACGTCGGCCAATGGGGCCAAGGCCATTCCAGTGGGGATGGGGATCGGTCAAACAAAGTTGATACGTCATTGGGGCCACTAGTACTGCCACGCTGTGTCCGTCGCCGAAGGTGGTCAAGGCGATACGAGGTAGGCCCTGCGAGATTCCGGATCGATCGACGTGACCGAATGCTTTTCGCACGCGAGCGGCGAAATATTGCGATGTTCGTTGCTAGTGCACAGTCGTGCCATGTCGCGCGATTCATGCTTTTGCCAGTACAGTGTCGCTGTAAGTGATCATGTCCCTCTGCTGATGGGAAACCCGCACGTATTCATGCAGGCACGCCTCCCGCGTATTTTCTTCTCGTTCTTTTGCTCTCCATATCCCCTCCTCCTGCCACTTTCCCCCCGCCTTTTCGCACAAATGGCCGCGCGAGGGAACCGGTGCACGCCGGGCTGCTGGGAGGCCCGGGGATGAGTCCAGGAGGAGAGGGAGGGGAGAAGGATGGGAGGGCGGAGGAGGAGGAAGGAATCCCCAGTCTGGGCCTCCCTCTCTGGGAGTCGCAAGCTCACGGTCAGGCTCTGGGAGTCGCAGTCTGCAGAAGTCGCAGTCACTAGGAGTCTCCCTCTGTGGGAGTCGCAGTCTCACTCTCTGGGAGTCGCAGACCCACTCTCCGAGAGCCACTGTCTCTGGCTCAGGCCTCCCTCTCTGAGAGTCGCAGTCTTTGGGAATCTCTGTGAGTCGCTCCGCCTCCAAGGTTTCAAGCTCACGGCGCTCGTGTTGGCTTCGGGCGGACTCGGCAGTTTTGCTGTCAGGGGCGAGTCGGCGTGGACGCTCGCTTGCTGCTGAGTCGGAATCGGAGGACAGGAGTCAGGAGGGAGGATTGACTGAGGCGGGGGTCGGATGATTGAGAAAGAACGGGGTGAGAAGGAATAGTAGTAGTAATCGTAATCGAAGGAGTAGTCGAATTAGTAGTTGACGACGTCGTCATGGTACTCCTGTTGAACCAGTAGACGGAGTAGCAGAAACAGTAGCAGTAGTAGTAACAGTAGAAGTAGAAGGAGTATTTGTAGTCGTAGTCGTAGTCGTAGTCGATGTCGTCGTCGTAGTCGCAGTAGTAGTAGTAGTAGTAGTAGTAGTAGTAGTAGTAGTAGTAGTAGTAGTAGTAGTAGTAGTAGTAGTAGTAGTAGTAGTAGTAGTAGTAGTAGTAGTAGTAGTAGTAGTAGTAGTAGTAGTAGTAGTAGTAGTAGTAGTAGTAGTAGTAGTAGTAGTAGTAGTAGTAGTAGTAGTAGTAGTAGTAGTAGTAGTAGTAGTAGTAGTAGTAGTAGTAGTAGTAGTAGTAGTAGTAGTAGTAGTAGTAGTAGTAGTAGTAGTAGTAGTAGTAGTAGTAGTAGTAGTAGTAGTAGTAGTAGTAGTAGTAGTAGTAGTAGTAGTAGTAGTAGTAGTAGTAGAAGTAGTAGTGGACGCGCACCTGGGACACAAGCGTGCGTGGAAGGAGGAGTGCCGGGGCAACGCCATGGCGCAGGAGGCCTACCGACGGATGGGCGACTACACGGACCAGCCCTACCGTGGCAAGGGCTTTACGTTCAACATGTACTACAAGTGCTCGGCCAACAAGACCTGGGACAATCCCAAGGGATGCTGCTCGGTGATCCGTTCGGATCGCTGGACGCAACTGCTCACCTGCGCGCAGGAGGCGGCGGGGGAGTCTGGCCAGCGCTGGCACTGCCATTGTGGCGCGCTGGCACTGCCATTGCGGCGGCGTCTGCATCGAGATGATAGAGGAACAGCTGAACCCGCCCCGCGCGTACTACACGCGCGCGGACTTCCTTCCCTCAGGAGGACATCCGCGACTTGAAGGCCCTGCTGCGTTACGACTAGCTCAAGAGGGAGGGGGTAGCGGCGCTCAGCGCTGTGGACCTTCTGCAGCGCCTGCCCAAGGTCGAGCCGCTGGCGGCGGGCGCCGTCTTTAAGCGCTACGCTCCGCTGCGGCCGCAGTGGGAGGGCCACTACGCGCTAAGGGACGGGCTCTCCTGGGACGACCTGCCTGAGTTCCAGCGGTCCGACTTGTGCTCGCAGGTTGCTTGTGGGCTGAACGACCCAGCCTGGGCGGGCTGCAGCAAGAACCAGCGGAAGAAGGCCGAGGGGGAGCGCCTGGCGACCGCGCGCGCGGAATTGGAGGCCTATGGGCGCCGCCGCAACCTCCGGGGGGGCAGCCTCGCGGGCGGCGGGGGCGGTGCCAGGGTCGCCCCGCGCGCCGCTCCCGTCCGCGCCGCCAGCGCCCCCCCCGCTGGCTCGGCCTGCGGCAGCCAGGTCCCGCCGCCGCCGCCTGCTGGGGCCCCGCGGGCGGCCATCATGGCCCCGCCGCCGCCGCCGCTGACGGCGCCCCCTGCGGCGCCGCCGCCGCCGGCTGGCCCGCTCCCGCAGCAGATCCCCGACGTCGCCGCCCTGAACGTGGCCCTCGGTGAGGATCTCGAGCGCCAGATCTTTGGGCCCCCAGGGCAGGCTGGCGGCGGCGGTGACCTCGGGGGAGAGGTGCAGGCGCTGCCGTCGCAGATCTTCGCGGCCATTGCGCAGGGGACAGGCCAGTCCGCCTGAACGCTGAGACTCTGCAGGCCCCCAGCTTCGTTCACTTCTGAGCCCTCGGGGGGGCTGCGTGAGTTCCTGCGTTAAGATCCCGAGCCTGCCGCTCTCGACGATGCTGCGCCTGTGCGCTCGCTTACGCTCCTGCTTAAGCAGCGCCGCCGTGCCAGCTTGGGCGGGTGCGCCCGCAGCGGCGCCCCCCCTCGCGCCGCGGGCCCCGTTGCTTAGTTCTTCGCTCTTCGCGCGGTCAACTGTGCGCCTAGCCATTTTGGCTTGCCATCCTGGCTTCTTCTCGCGCCCACTTGCGCTCGTTGGCCTCGCCGGCGGTGCTGGGGTCGCCCCGTGCGCTGCTGTGCCGTCGCTGTGCGCCTAGCCATTTTGGCTTGCCATCCTGGCCTCTTCTCGCGCCTACTTGCGCTCGTTGGCCTCGCTGGCGGCACAGGGGTCGCCCCGCGCGCTGCTGCGCCGCCGCTGTCGCTTTACTCTGGGCCGTAGGGGCCAGTTGCCCTCGGACAAGCGCCTGCTGCTGCGCGCGCGTCAGACCCGCCATTTCACTCAGAAAAAGGCGCTCGCTATATACTGGAAATGAGGCAGCCACAAGGACGCTCATCCCAAGGCGGTTGAGCTGTGGTGATGTGGTGCACGTGTCCGAGTAGTAGTAGTAGTAGCAGCAGTGGTAGTAGTAGTCGTAGTCGTAGTCGCAGTCGTTGTCGTAGTCGTAGTCCTAGTAATAGTAATAGTAGTAGTCGTCGTCGTCGTCGTCGTCGTAGTAGTGGTAGTAGTCGTAGCAGTAGTACTAGTAATATTATTAGTAGTAGACAATAGTAGCAGTAGTGGTAGTTGACGTAGTAGTAGTAGTAGTGGTAGTAGTAGTAGTAGTAGTAGTAGCAGTAGTAGTAATAGTAGTAGTAGTAGTAGTAGTAGTAGTAGTGAGGGACGTCACAAACGCACTTGTAGCCGTTGTCATTATCTTAGTCGTGGTCGTAGCAGTAGACATGTAGTAGTAGTAGCAGTAGTAGTAGTAGTAGGAAGGCAGGCAGGCAGGTAGGTAGGTGTGTAGGTAGTCGTGGTAGTAGATGTGGCAGTGCTACTAGTAGAGGTAGTAGTAGTAGTAGTAGTAGTAGTAGTAGTAGTAGTAGTAGTAGTAGTAGTGGTAGTGGTAGAAGTAGAAGTAGTAGTGGTAGTGGTAGTAGTAGGAGCAGCAGCAGCAGCAGTAGTAGTAGTAGAAGTAGTAATCGTAGTAGTAGTAGACGTAGTAGTAGTAGTAGTAGTTGTTGTTGTTAATGTGGTAGTAGTAGTAGTAGTAGTAGTAGTAGTAGTCGCCGTAATAGTAGTCGTAGTAGTCGTAATAGTAGTAGTAGTAGTAGTACTAGTAGTAGTAGTAGCAGTAGTAGTAGTAGTAGTAGTATAATCAGCAGTAGTAGTAGTAGTAGTAGTAGTAGTAGTAGTAGTAGTAGTGGTAGTAGTAGTAGAAGTAGTAGTAGTAGTCGCGGACGTAGTAGTAGTCGTAGTAGTAGTAGTGGTGTTCTTGGTCGTCGTAGAAGAAAAGCAGTAGTAGTAGTAGTAGTAGTAGTAGTAGTAGTAGTAGTAGTAGTAGTAATAGCAGTAGTACTGGTAGTTGTAGTTGTAGTAGGTTTAGCAGTACTAGCAGTAGACGTAGTAGTAGTAGTAGTAGCAGCTATCGTAGTAGTCGTCGTCGTAGTAGTAGCCGTCGTCGTCGTAGTAGTAGTAGTAGTAGTGGTAGTAGTAGTAGTAGTAGTAGTAGTAGTAGTAGGCGTAGGAGTAGGAGTAGGAGTAGTAGTAGTATTATCAGGGTCACACTTGATCTTCGTGTCTGACCGCACGTCACCCTCGTGCACTATATTATGTATAGCGTCAGTGTCGCATTCCCAGTGGGGAATGAAGGAACACGTCAGTTCCACACGTCACCTTCGTGTTGCTTGCACCGCACGTCACCTTCGTGTACAATTCATTCGTAACCAAGCATATTAAGGCCTTGTTGAGAAATACGGAAACACCAGATTCATGCGTCACCTTCGTGTTGGAGAATTTCGAGCATAGTTCAAATAGAAATACCAGGGGATCTCTGGGTAACATTTCCCAGTGTCCAGTGAGACGGCCAAGACTCTGGCCGACGCCCTTACGGCGACCCCAGGATCCTTAGGAAAGCAACAGGAAACTGTCGAGCCCCAGCCTCCAGCAGGGCTTTGGAATGGGAATTCAAATGGAAACTCTCGAGTCCCAGCCCCTAGCAGAATTCCATCATCACTTTATTTGCTTTTGAATAAGAATTCAGTCGGAAACATTTGACCCCCCGTTGATATTCGTTGGTTTTTGCATTGGAGTTCAACAGGAACTGGCCGAGCACCAGCCTCCAGCAGAATTCCTGGATCGTTGGTTGGCTTTCGAATTGGGGATTGAGTCGGAAACGGCCGAGCCCCAGCCTCCAGCAGAATTCCTCATTAATGTATCTGGTTTCGAATGGGAAGTCAATAGGAAACGGCCGCGCCCCAGCCTCCAGCAACATATGTACTTTAATAATTTCTTTTTTTTGCGCGTGCACTAGGACATCGCCGAGCCCCAGCCTCCAGCAGACTCTTTTTGCATGTTTCAATAGGAGTGCAACCGGAAACTGATGACGGATGTTTTTGAAAGTAATTCAAATGGAGAGCAGAGCCCCAACCTCCAGCAGAATTCCTTGATCATTAATTTGCTTCTGAATGCGAATTCAACAGGGAGCTAGCGAGTCCCAGCCCCCAGCATAATTCCTCAAGATATTGGTTGTTGAAAAGGAATTCAAATGGAGATAGCAGAGCCCCAACCTCCAGCAGAATTCCTCAATGATTTATTGGCTTTTGGTCGAACCCCAACCTCCAGCAGAAATCTTCCAGAAT